CCAGCACCCCCAGGGCAGCAGCGCATGGGGCAGAGGATGGGGCTTTAGCACTTTAGCAACTCGTGGTGCAGGAGAGATTTGGGGTGCCCTGGGGGTGCTGCTGGGGTCCTCTCTGCGCTCCCCAGCACCCCAAAGGAGGGGATGCTGGAGCCCCCCCGGCTCTCTGCCCGCGATGCACTTTAGTTGTTGGGTTATCCCTGGGGAGGAAGGGGCTGGAGGAGACGCTTTGGGTGTTGCAGTTCCCTCTGTACAAAGACTTCACACCCCCTGTCCATGTACAAAGCCCACCCTGTACAATAAACTGTTACTAACACCTTTCCTGCCCCCCTGCTCCTGCACCCTGTATCCCAGAGCTGGCGCATCCCCGTGGGCTCGCAGTGCAGCCGGATGGGGATGAGCTGCCTGCAGGTCCCTTGGGCTGCTCCAGGCTCTTCCCAGGCAGCAGTCAGTGCATCAAAGAGCCCATGGAAGCATCACCTTTATTGACCCTAAAAGAGCAGGAATAGGGGCTCTGTGCCCGTGTCCCCCCGCTGCTGTTGTGTGGATGAGGCAGTGCTCAGCCCCGTGCTGAGGTGAGGACCACGGCTGCGTTTGGCCGCTCTTCTTCCCCATCCTCCTTGAGGAGCTGCTCCCAACGCTGGGAAGCATCACTTGGCCTTGGGACAGGATGGGACACCAGAAGGACTGTACCAGTGCTGATGATGGGGATGGGTCCTCGCCCCCCACATCTGGAAGGTAAGAGACCCCCTGCCCCTGCCCCATGCTGGGCCTGTGGCTGCACTCCGGCTCATGGATGGGCATCGGGTTTAGGGGTCATGGTGGGGGCCAGGCCACGGGGAGGGCAAAGGGACCCTGGTACCCACCAACCCCTCCTGCAGCTGCAGCAGCGTGGGGTGCACGGGGGGATACAGGGCACCGTGCAGGAGCAATTGCCTGTTTTGGGGACCACCAAGAGGAGCCCCAAACCCCCCCAGGACCCAGCCACCAGGACCCAGCCAGAGCCACATCCTGGGGGTGACAGCCCAAGAGCATCACTGCCCTCATCCCGGTGGGGCTCCCACGCGTGATGGAGGAAGGAACCCCCGCGGCACCACCGGGATGTGCCCGTCCTGAGCCGCATCCAGACCCGCATCGGGCCTCCCATCAGGCCACCCGCAGCCACCCAATCGGCGGCCATGGGGAAGGAGGAGCAGGGCTGGGGGGGGGCCGAGGGGCCGCTGCCGTGTGGGGATGCGGGGACACGGCCCCCCCTGCACCTGCCCCGCGTTGGGAAGTGCCTGCCCGAAGGAGGGTGACTGGGGACCAGGACCCCTCTGGTGCTGAGCAAAGCCCTGCACTGGGGAGGCCGTGCAGGGGGGATGCTCTGCTCGTGCCCTGCCTGTGCCTAGGGCTGGGATGTTCGTCACTGCCTCCATGGACCATCAGGGTGGGTCTTGGATGCGGGGGTCCAGGGGGGGCCCAGCCTGGTGCTGACAGCGTTTGGTGGGGAGGGGCTTGTCACCATGGGGACCACCTGCCCCAGTGCATCCCTGGTACTGGTGCCTCCTGCCCTGGGCTGCCCTCACCCTGCATCCCCCCCGGTGTCCCCATATAGGCTCACCCTGCCCACACCCCCGCCTGCTCCCTGCTTACCTCTGGGAGGGCAGAGGCCTTAGAGCATCCTTCTCTTTTCCAGGTCTCTACTATCCTTGTGTCCAGAGGGCTCCCATGGTGTCATCCCCAGCTTCGGCACAGCCCTGGCACTGTCCTTGTCCCTGGGATGGGGGGGCTGTGCCGGGCAGATGCTGCTGGTAGAGCCGATGGGATGCTGTGTGCAGGCACTGCGTGCCTCGGAGCCAGGCCGGTGCCGGTGTGTGCATGGGCCTGTGCCGAGGGCAGGAGGCAGCAGTGATGGATGGTGTCAGACCGGACCCATCAGCCCCTTGCTCTGGGTGGTGACCTGGGGCAGGAGCCTGATGCCATGGCCAGGGGCTGCTGTGAGCCGGTGCTGGGGCATCGCTGTCCCCATGGCTTTGGGACCGGTGCTGGATGCTGGGCCCGTGTGGCTGTGCAGCCATCCCCCACCCTGGTCCCCAGCATCACCCGGGTGCAGGGCGGTGGTACCCAGGGATGCTCCAGGCTCCCCTGTTGCCATGGTAACAACCATGGGCGGGGCTGGGGGATGCAGTGATGCAAGCAGTGTGTGCCCCCGTGGCCCCCCCTCCCTCCCGGGCCCTCCTGCAGGGCTGGATTAACACCCGACCCCCCCCGGGGGCCATAGGGCTGTGTGTGCACAGAGCAGGCACAGCACACACATGTGCAGGCGTGCACAGAGCACATCCATGTGCACACACCCCCGTGTGCTGTGCATCCACACACATGCACGGCTGCACACACGCGTTGCGCGCCAAACGGGTGCTTACACACATGTAAGGAGACGCACACGCATGCACATACGTGGGGTTGATGAGGGTGAACCCGCCCCAGGGGATGATCCATGGGGAACCCATGGGGTGGTAGCTGAATGGGAGCACCTCATCCCTCCGGGACCCCACATCCTCCCTTGGGAATCCTGCATCCCCCCCTCCCGGAGGTGGCGCAGGAGGAGCGGCAGCCGCGGGGCTCAGACCAACACACTTTATTCCATAGTCACAACAGCCAGGACAGCCGGGAGCCGAGCTGGGCAGAGCCGGAGCCGGGGCTGCCCTCGCCTCAGGTCCCGTTTCTCCATGACAACACCTACAGGTTCCTTCACTACCACGAACACGACAAAGGTGACCCCGAGCGCTGGCGCCCGTGCGGGGGCTGCGCCGGGGCCCCACCGGCTCCGGGAGCCCCCCGGCCCCTTCGGCCGCCGCCGGGGCGGCTCCTTCCTGAGAGAGGTTTGGTTTCTTCTTATTATTAACTCGTATCACCGTTCATTATCACCGTGATTCGCTTTGTCTCTGGTGGGGGCGGCTCTCGCAGGCGCGAGTGCCGGGTAGCACCGGGTAGCACCGGGTAGCACCGGGTAGCACCGGGTAGCACCGGGGAGGGGGCCGCACGCTGGGGGGGGTCTCTAAGCACTACAACCACACGGCACAGACAATCCACCACTGTCCACGACGGATCTCCCCTGACAAAGACACCCAGCGAGGCTCGAGGAGGGGGCAAGGACCGGGAGGGGATGGGATGGGGATGGGGATGGGGAGGAAGCGGATGCTGTTGTGCTTGTGGCCGGGGAAAGGGGGGGGGGAGCCCCGGCTCTTGGCTCCGGTTCTGGTGCTGACCCAGAACCTGCTCCTGAGGAAACGTTTTGCCTGATAGTCCGTGGAGGGAGCGCCCGGCCCACGGGTGATGCTCGGCACGGAGGGACCCCAACAGGACCAGGAGATGCAGCCCCGGCAAAGCAAGCGAGTGATGCGAGACCCTCACCGCGGCCTCAGGCCCTGCCGGTACTTGGGGGCTTTGGCTTCCCCATGGATGGGGATGGAGGGCGGGAGGCTCCGAAGCGGGGCGGCCACGTGCCCTGAGAAGGCACCGAGGTGCTGGTCGAGATCTGTGCACATTGGGGGGGGTCCCCCAAACCCGGCTCATGCAGGGATGGGGCTCGGGGTGCTCCTGGTATGGGGCTGCCCAGGGGGTGGGAAGGCAGAGCCCCCCCCCCGGCTTTAGCATCACGCCTGGCCCGGCGCTGATTTGGCTTTTCCATGTGGGGGGGATCTGGGTCCGGTGGGGAACGGCCCGGGATGGGGGAGCAGGGATGGGGACACGCTCTATACGGGGAACACGTGTGTGATGCGTGACAGCCGCCTGGCACCACAGGCTGGCGCCGCACCGGGGACACACACACAGAGCTACCGCTACACACCGACACATCTACCATGCTGGGGGGGCTGCGGGGACCCCAAGGCCGCCCGGGAGGGGGGACATGGAGCATCCCTGTGAAGGGGCCTGTGCCAAGGCATCAGGGCAGGTCCCTGCTCCGAGCTGCACTGCGGGGCACCAGGACCCTGGAAGGGGGGTGATGCCCTTCCCATGGTCACGGCAGCCCCATAGCAATGGGCAGCTTGTGACTGGAGGAGCTGCAGCCTCTAAACAGGGATGCAGAGACCCTGGTACCCTTGGAAGGGTCAGAGGGGCTCCTGCACCCCCGGACACTCAAGGCAGTGGGGGACCTCAAAGGCTGCTTCTAGCAGAGATCCCCACTGACCCCAGGGCAGCTCCTCCGGGCGCTGCTGGCCATGGCCATGGCCATGTCCCCAGGGCTGGCACTTGGGGTGCCCGGGGTCCTCCCCAGCCCCACACACAGAGCACAGCCCTAACCCAGAGCCGCAGCGGCCGAGCCGGAGCTGCAGCCACAGCCACGTGCTCCCGGCAGCGGGAGGAGGCGGCTCGGTGCGGGATGGAGCCATTGGGAAAAGCAAAGACAAACCCGGCCGGAGGAGCCGATCCTGCTGGGATGCCTTTGCTGCCGTGGTGCCATGTGGAGCCAGCCCCATGCTGGAGCATCACCCACGGCACTGGCATCGGCGGCTGCTGCTCTGGGCCCTGTTCAGGTGGATGCTTAAGGCAGAATCCCAGCCCCATTCCCTCTGCCACGTTGGCACCATCGCTCGCTGCAGCCGAGCACAGTGGGACTCCCTGCACCGGCCAAAGCGGAGCGTGTCCCGCATGGGCACCGGCTCCAAGGCCAGGATGGGGGCTGGCTGCCTTAGGAAGGGCTTGGTTCCAGCTGGAATTCGGGGTGGCTCCGGGCTCAGCCTCCTCGGCACAACCGCCCGGCGAGAGGAACAACACAGCCTCCCGCACCACGTGCGCATCACGTGCGCCCAACTTCGCTCTTCCCAAAGCGAGCGGCCGGGAGCGTGCGATCCCATGGGATACGGAACCCCCACAGCCGGGGACACCCAGGGAATGGGGTGGCGGGCGGGGAGGGCTCAGTGGGGCTCTGCCTCCATCCATCCATCCATCCATCCATCCATCCATCCATCCCCAGGGGATGCCTCAGGGAGGAGGAAATTGAAGCCGTGCTTGACGGAATCGGCCATTCCCTAAGGGATGGGGAGGATGGGATGGGCGCCGAGGGCCGGTGTGGGCACTCCAGCTGCTGGAGAGTGGGAGGGAATGGCTGGTGGGGATGGGAGCAGCCATGGGAAGGGGCCGGGCCCTGGCAATGGAACCCCGATGAGAGGTGAGCAGCCACACGCCCGGGCTGGACGGGCAGACGAGGAGCGGGTGTGTGCCGGGGGTGGGTGAGCGGGAGCTCTGCCTTCCAGCGCCTTCAAGGCAAAATCCCTGATTCCTGCATGTAAACAGCTGGTTTCGGTTCTTATTTTATCGCTATGACCTGATCGGGGGAGCAGTGGGGAAGGGGGGGGGGGGCAAACCAAGAAACGGGGGTGTTACCTGCAGAGCACGGGACTCAGTAGGTAAAGACCAAGTCCGAGATGCTGGACATGAGCCAGTCCCCCGCTATCATCTCCGTCACCTCGGGCGTGCAATAGTCCGGGAACTCGAAGTGCGAGGAGCCTCCCCGCGGGAAGAGGTCGTGGTCCTTGTCCAGGACGGACCAGTCCAGGGCAGCACCGGTGGCACCGGGGGGAGCCCGCCCCGGCACGACCCCCAGCGCCTCCTCCTCCTCCTCCTCCTCCTCCGGCTCCTCATCGGAGGAGCTGAAGGAGGAGGGAGGGGACGCGGCCGACATGGGAGAGGGGGACCCGCTCTGCGGGGAGCTCCCCGGCGCGGGGCTGGGGGGCGCGGGGGGCTCCTGGGCGCCGGGTGCCGCGGGGCTGTCCTCGGGGGGCAGCTCCGGTGCTGGCTCCGGTGGCTCCAGCGCGGGTTTGCTGGGCTGCCTGCGGCCGGCGGAGACGCGGCCCAGCACCGAGGGCTTGATCTTCACCGGGAGCCGCGGGCGGGACGCGCCGGTGCCCACTTTGCCCTTTTTCCGCGGGCGGTACTTGTAGTCGGGGTAATCGGCCATGTGCTTGAGGCGCAGGCGCTCGGCCTCCTTCACAAAGGGGATCTTCTCGGAGTCGTGCAGGAGCTGCCAGCGCCGGCCGAGGCGCTTGGAGATCTCGGCGTTGTGCATGTCGGGCCACTGGTCCATGATCTTGCGGCGCTCGTGCTGGGACCACACCATGAAGGCGTTCATCGGCCGCTTGATGTGCCCGCTCGGGGTCTTGCACCACGCCGGTTCGGCATCGCGGGAGGGCAGCGGGGCACAGGGCTCCCGCCGAGCCTCCGCGCCCCGGCCCCGCGCCCCGCGCTGCTGCACCATGCCGGGCCCCGGGACCCCCCCGCCGCCGCCTTCTCCTCCTCCTCCTCCTCTTCCTCCCCGCCCGCCGCCGCCGCCTCCCCGCCCGCCGCTACGCGCCGCGCCGCGCCGCCCCCATTGTGCGGAGCGGGCGGCGGCGGCAGGGCGGGGCGCCGGGGGCCGCACCGGGGCCCGGGGGCTCACGGCGGAGGCGGCTCCGCCGGGGCGGCGGCTGCTGAGATGCTCCGGGAGGGCCCCGGGCCGGGCCAGCGGTTTTCGGCTTAGGGATGCTCGGCAGCGGTGCGGTCCCGGGATGCTCCGGGATGCTTTGTACCGGTGCGGGGATGCTCAGGGATGTTCTACCGGTCAAAGGATGCTCCTCGCCGCCCCAGGGATGCTCTGCACCGGTTCGAGGCTGCTCCGGGATGTTCCGCCCCGCCCTGGTGATGGTTCCCCGGTGAAGTCTGTGGATGCTCCCATCGGGGAGGCTGCGGCGGGTCCGAGCCAGGGGGTGCTCGGGGGCGGTGCGGGCAGCCCGGGAGCCACACGCCCCCCGGTGCCGCTCTTATAGCCGGCGCCGCTCCGCCCCCGGTAAACACCGCCGCGCCGGTTCTGTCAATGGGAGGCACCGCCTCCCCCCGGCCCATTGGCCGCGGGGCGGGGGGGAAATCCAGCCCCGCCAATGGGCGCCCTCCGGAGCGGGGTTGCTGGAGAGAATGGCAGGGCGGCACGCCCCGGTGCCCCCCGGTGCCCCCCGGTACTGTCGGTAACGCCCGCCGGCAACGCCCGGTGCCCCTCCTGGAGCAGCACCCCCGCTCCCATCACACGAGCATCCCACTACCCCGGCCTGGGCACCCCGGTACCCCCCTGTGGCCTCCGGTACCCTGCCGGGTTTGCTCCAGCTACTGCCAATACCCGCTGCTCCCCCGTGCGGGCACCCCGGCGCCTCCCACACCCGTGTGTGTGTATCCCCGGTGCCCCCACACCTCCCGGGCGCTGCATTCCGGCCCGGGCGCTCTGAGCATCCCCCGGTTGCCGCTTTAGACCCCGTCACTGCCGGTCCACGGGGCTCAACCCCGGTACCCCGGCCCGGGTCACTCCCATAGGGGCTCATGCCTTCACCGGCACCGGGGGGATGAGGATGCGCTGCCCGGTGCCACGAGTGGGACCTCGTCCCCCGCGGCGCGGCCCCGCCCGGCCCCGCCCCTCCCGGTCAGGCCACGCCCCCCCTCGGGCGGCACCAATGGCGCGGCGGCGGCGGCCCGTGTTGCCCCGGAGACCGCGGGCTGCCCTCGAGGGGCCGCGCCCATTGGCTGCTCTCGTGGCGCGCGAGCCCGCCGCAGGGCGTGCGCCCATTGGCTGCGCCCCGCCGGCAGTTGCTGTGGTAACAGGGCCCCGGGGCCGCCGCCTGCACCGGGTACCGGGGCCTGCACCGGGCACCGGGGCCTGCACCGGGGCCTGCCGTCTCTGCCGGCCCGGCTCTGCATCCCCCTGGTACCCCGGGAACAACACACGGCCCTTCCCAGCATCCTCCCCATTGCGCGGGGCCTGCGGGCGGTGCCCCCCTGAGCCGTTCCCTCCCGGTGCGCCCGGAGGCCCTGGACACGTGGCTCCCGTGGGACCGTGGGCACCCGCTCTGCCGTTCCTCGTGACCCACGGGGCTCCGCGCAGGGCGGGCTCGGGCACCCGGACCCCGGCCCTGTGGCTCCTGCGCTCCCTCCCTGCGGAGCCGGGGCGGGGCCGGCAGGGGGCGCCGCTTCCCGGGAGCGCGCTCCCCGCCCGCTGTCGCCATGGAGACCGGGGCCAGGACACCGGTACCCGGGGTACGGGGGAGCCCCGGGGCCGTCCCGAAGGGGGCTCCCCGGCGGTTACGGGGGTCCCAATGGGACAAAGGAGCGGAGCGGGGGGCTCGGTTTATCCTCCCCTAGAGGGCACAAGCAGGAGGACGCCCCACGGCACACGGGGGGCAGTGGAGATGGGGCTCAATAAAGGTGCCCGAACCCAGGGGTGCTGCTGCCTCTCTGCTGTATGGACACCGCAGGGCTTCTCCATGGGGACAGGCAGAGCTGGGGGGCTCGGGCTCCTCAGGGCGTGGGGCTTTTCCCATGCAGAGCCTGCAGGGAGGTGGAGGCACAGAGCCCAGAGCCGAGCATCATGGAAGAGGTGAGGAGAACAGCGAGCCCCTTGCTCCCTGGGGTCCAGGGCACGTCCTAGGTTGACACCATTCCCCACACGCCTGCAGCACCGTGCCTGTGAGCGCTGCACCCCAAACAGGCCTGGGGTTTGCTGCTCCATGCTGGTTAAGGGGCACCTGGAAGCCCCAAAGGAGCAGTGGGTGTCGTTGTGGGTCAGCTCCGAGAGGTCTCTGCTCACAAAGCTCCTCTGACTCCTTGTCTTTCCTGTGCTGCTGTCGGGCTGAGTTTAGGATTACAGCAAAGAGCAGAAGGCAGCAGCAGAGGAGAAGGAAACCTCCAGGCCAAGGGTTGACTTGGCCACCATTCACTGCTAAGAACAAGAAGAAAGGCAAGAAGAACAAGGCAGGTTGGGAGAGATTCCCTTGCACCCTGCCCTGCTGCCCCTGCCTTTACCCAGTGCTCGCTGCTGAGGGATGTTCATCAAAGGCCACAGAAAGAAAACTACCCAAAGGGAGATGCTGAGAGCCAAGAGGGAGGAGTGGCAAAGGCCAGGGAGAGCTTTGCAGGCTCAGCTCCTGCGCTGTCACTGCCAGTGGCTTTTCCTGGGGCTGCAGAAGGTTTGAGTTCAGCTCTTTACGTTTCCCTCTGCCGCCTCTATGAGAGAGCAGCTGCAAGGTTGAATCTGGGCCTATCCTGGGCTGCACCCAAAGGAGTGTGACCAGCAGGTCCAAGGAGGTGATGCTGCCCCTCTGCTCTGCTCATGTAAGACCTCACCTGGAGCATTGTGTGCAGTTCTGGTGTCCTCAACATAAAAAGGACATGGAACTGTTGGAACAAGTCCAGAGGAGGCCACGAGGATGCTCAGGGGCTGGAGCAGCTCCTGTATGGAGACAGGATGAGAAAGTTGGGGCTGTTCAGCCTGGAGAAGAGAAGCTGATGGAGACCTCAGAGCAGCTTCCAGTATCTGAAGGGGGGCTATAGGGATGCTGGGGATGGACTCTTCATTAGGGACTGTAGTGACAGGACAAGGGGTAATGGGTTAAAACTGAAACAGGGGGAGTTTAGATTGGATATAAGGAGGAAATTCTTCCCTGTGAGGGTGGTGAGGCACTGGAATGGGTGCCCAGGGAGGTTGTGAATGCTCCATCCCTGGCAGTGTTCAAGGCCAGGTTGGACAGAGCCTTGGCTGACATGGTTCAGTGCGAGGTGTCCCTGCCCATGGCAGGGGTTGGAACTGGATGATCTTCAGGTCCTTTCCAACCCGAGCTATTTTATGGTTCTATGACTCTAAATAAGCCCAGGCCTGGGTTTGTTTCTGTTTCCCAGCTGCATTTACACTGAGTAAAAAACCACTTTTGCTTTCAGAGCCGTCATCATTCCAAGGGAAATCCCTGAAGGAATTAGCCCTCAGGAAGGCTGAACTAGCAAACACCTTGAAAGAGACCCGAATCACCACAGGATGTGCCCCACATCTGAGGCAGCAGAGCCGGGGGCTGCCCCCGGGAGCCTCTGCAGCCCACTCCCCCCTGCAAACTGGAGGATGCTTCTTTCTTAATCCACTGGAGGTGGTTGCTCTGCTCTGCTTCATGCTGCTGGCATCCAACCCTTGTATTATCGATCAAGGACAAGAGAAACCAAGAGAGAGCCCAGCCTGAAGCAGAGGAAAGGATGAGATGCAGGAAATGTGACCTGCTAGAAAGGGGCTGTTGGTATCAGATGGTCTTGGTCTAGCAAAGAGGAGGTTGAGGACCTGACCACAGCCTTTAGTAGGTGGAAGATCATAGAACCATAGAATGGTTGGGGTTGGAAGGGGCCTTAAAGATGGTTATAATAACAGTTAGACTAAAGATGGTTATAATAAAGGTTAGGAGGCTGTGATCCTGCAGTAAGGAATGGGGAGCAGGGTTGGGGGGGCAGTCAGAGTGCCTCAGCAGTGAGGCTGCTCTTCCCATGGGACAGGAACAGCCCAGGCAGGCAGAGGATGCTGTGAAAGCTTGGGGCAGGTGAGGAGGGTGGAATCCACATCATTTTAATCCACAGATTCCTGCAGGATGGGACCAGTCAAAGAAAGATGCCATTGAGAAGCTGAAGCAGTGCAGTGCCCAACTGGCAATGGCTAACTGGGGAAGGAGATCCAGGACACTGATGACAGCACGGGCAGGTAACCCAGGCACCTGCTGCAGCAGGATGAGGCGTTCCAGGTGAGGCTTTAGGGTTGATCCATAGGTCCAGTCCAGCAGAATCCCTCCTCAGTGCTGCAGCAGGATCAGCACTGCCCTTCCCTGCACTGCAGCATCCCCAGTGCCGGGGAGAGCTCTCTGGTACCCAGAGACGCTGTGAGGTGCTCGTGTTTTGTGCCTGTGTTTTAAAGCTGTGAGAGCACCCGAGCTGGCCCAAGGAACAGCAGTCACCCTTTAACAGCCCAAATCCATCCATCCATAACGTGCCCAGCTCCAACCAGCACCAGCTGGCCCCAGTAACGGGCTCCTGTGTGCTGCTGAGGGGAAGGTGCAGGGGGAGGTCTCAGAGCTCTGTGGAATGAGCAGGGGGGCGAAGGCAGCGGTGCAGACCTGCAGTCAAAACCAGCTGCAAACAGCAAAGGCAAAGCTGCAGGAAATGGCAAAAGCAATGGCAAAGAATCTGGAGCGTGAGTTGCGAAACGCGGTCGGTGCAGCCCCGTTACCTCGGCTCCTGGGGTTACAGACGCTGTGTTGATCTTACAAATGTCAAACAATTCCATATCTGAACACGGATCCCAGTTCCCTGTGAGGAGGATCCTCCCGGCAGCGGGTCCGGAGGGGGGGGAGCAGGAACAGACACCTCCTTGGCAGCTCTTTGCACATCCCCATGGGGCAGGACCTGGTTTGGGTGCTCTGGCCTGGGGGGCCGTTGCTGCTTCCCCCCGGGTGTGTAACCCCTGCAGAGAGAAGGGCTCGGGGCTTGGCAGCTCAGAGGTGAAGCTCTGCAGCCCTCAGTGACCAGTTTCTGTTCTCATCCCAAGCAGAGCTCCAGCAGGAGCTGGGGGACATCACAGCAACGGTGCAGGGTCTCCAGGAGCAGCTCAGGGTCCTAGGCCCTGCACCGATGGGCACTATCCGGAACAAGCTGCCAATGCTTCTGCAGCACAGCATCCAGAGAGTGAAGCAGCAGCAGAAGGTGCTGAGACCTCCCCTTCCCTGCAGCATCGCATCTCTCTTCTGGGCTTCCCTTTGTGCAAGGGGAGATACCAGAGGTGCAGATGGGGAGAGTGAGGAGCAATGGAGCTCCTCCAGGCCCCTGTGCTCACACTGACTCCCACTCTGTTTCCTCTCCCTGAGGGAACGGGCAGGCTCACAAGGAGCTTCACTGCCCAGGCAGATCTGCCCCACTTCTCTGGTGGCTGATAATTCCCGAGTGGATGCTGGGAGTGATCCCCATTGCCAGCGTGCGCTGGTCCTGGATGTGAGGATTCCAGCGCACAGGGAGAATCCTCATGCAGTGTTGATGGGAACCATCAGCAGCGCTGCCAGCTCGGTCACGGGAACCCCGGGCTCTCCTCCCTGGGGACAGAGCCAGGCAGGCCAGCAGCCCGCTGGGACACGCTGCGTTCCACCCCATCCTTGTCAGGCTGAGGGCCCCTTGTCCCCAGGATGGGTGACAGAAACCCCTAGGGTTGTGGACCTACCGAGGGGCTTTGCCTCTCGCTGTTGCTCTTTGCTGCCCAGGGGGCAAAGGTGTTTAAACCTGGAGGGTGCCGCAGCCCCCGAGCAGAGGCTGTGAGCAGGACAATGTGCACATGTGGGTTATTTACAGCGGCTGCCATACAAACTGTTCCTGGCACAGAGGCGCCTGGTAACAGTCACTCCTGTCCAGCCTCTGCTGCTGCTGCAGGTACCGGCCCCTCGGCTCCCTGCGCACGCATGGGGCTTGTTTTGGGGTGAAATTACCCTGGGATGAGCAGCGAAGTGGGAGTGATGCAGGAGGGGCTGACCCCCTCCCTACGGCCTGGGTTTTAGCTGGAGGCCAGGTAGGGCTGTGGGCACACGGGTCACAGCAGGAGGGTGTCAGGATCACATCGCGCAGGGGGAGGCGGTGGAGCAGCAGAACTCGGGAGTTTTCTGATTTAAACCCAAAATGACATAAAAAAATAAAGGAATTACTTCTCCTGCACAGCTGGGGGGGGGCTGGGACAAGAGTTAAAAATAGGTTAAAAATAGCAGGAAGGCCCAAGTGGAAAGTTTCTGTAACATCACAAGTCAGGCATTCGGTGCTTACCCGCCCTGACAGCCGGAGCCGGTGCCAGCGCCCTCTGCAGCCCTCAGCCCTTTCCCACTGACCTCCGGCAGCTTCTCACAGGGCTCCACCAGCTCCCGTTAACCCTTAGGGTCCAGACACGGGATTTGCTTCTCAAAGGGGAAAATCAGACGGAAGCTGCCCTTGATCTGGGAGTGTTTGGGATGTGCAGGAGCACGGGGCCCTTTCTGCCCTCCCTGGGTCCCTGTGTCCCCATCCCCGGCTGCATCTCAGCTTCCCCTCGTTGCAATCCTCTTGCTCCAAAGAGCCATGGGTGGGTTTCAGCCGCAGCCTCTGGCCCTGCACTGGAACCCTCTGGATGCACCGTGTGTCCTGGATGGGACAGAGATGGATGAGCAGAGCTCGGAGCCAGCCCAGCTCCCTGCACATGGCCTGTCTCTGCGAGAAAGCAGATGTACCTGCTGCTCCCAACGGCTCCCTGCTGCTCTTTGTCCATTGGGATTGACACTGAGGGAGGCTCCCTTCATTCCTTTTCCCTCTCGGAGCCCTGGGGTTAAGCCTGGCTCTGCTTCTCTGTTAAGCAGCGAGTTCACAGCCTGCCTTGCAAAGGGCTTGGTTGCAAGTATGGCTGCAAGACCAGTACATAGAGCAGGCCTTGGGCTTGGCACTGGTTTCCTTCCCAGGCAGAGGAGTCAGTACCTGGGGCATACCATGATGAGTGCTCTGGAAAGCAAAGTGGTGCTGGGGCACAACAACCATCGTCTGGTTTTAAAGTGGTTTTTTCCCTGCTCCTCCCTGCTTCCTTTGTTCTGTGTCCCAGAACAAGCACCTGGGCCATCCCCATTGAAAACCAGTCCTGGACACCGGAAACACTGGGAAGGCAGAACAGCAAATGCGAGGCAGGATTCCCTTCACCTGGGACAGGATGTCTCTGAGCCCAAATCCATCACCCCCTCCTGCCTGGGCCATGCACAAGCTTCTCCTCCTCATCATCACACCCATCATGGCTTATTCCCACTCCTTACTTTGTCCCTCCTGTCACCAGGTGCATGATGAACACTGAGGTGGTCCTCAGCATCCCCACCGAGAAGAAGCCACTCCTCTGCTGTCACCAGGCTTTGCTCTCAGGTCCCTCACCGAGTGCTCAGTGCACCCAGGCTCCAATGCCCTGCTGAGCTGCTCAGCACCTCCCTTGCCACCAGTGCTGCACCCCAGCCCCGCTCAGGGGCACTCTCTGCTGTGGATTCAAGGTGCAATGAAGGTGTTGCCATCATTCCTGTGCTGTGCTCATGGCTGCGGTCCCTCGGAAGGTGAATGGGGCGAGCCCTGGGAGCAGAGCTACTGGGGAAGGGTCAAAGCCAAAGGTGCCTCCCCATTGCTATGCTCTGCCCGTGAAGGGTGTCCTGGGACTGCCCCTGCTCCGGGCCAGGCACTGGGCTCAAATCGAACCAGCTCTGGTTCTTGCCCTTGCCAAGCCAGCCTCTGGCTGTACCTTCCCTCACTGGCGCTACAGACCCAAGGCTGGTTCCGGTCCGAAGGCGGCTCCCCGGGACTGAGGGGATGCGCCCCGAGGGATCCAACCGTTCTGTGGCACCGGGAGCCCCACGGGGAGCTCCGGGAGCAGGCAGGGGACCGGGGCCGCTGCGGGCCGGGCTGTGACCGGCGGGGGAGGGACCGGCCGCGGGGAGCGGCTCCACCTCCCTGGTTTAAAGCCCGGGGCCGGGCGGCGGCGGCGCTGTCCCGGGGAAAGTTGTGTCCGTGCTGCCGGCGGCTCAGGAGGGCACCGGGACCGGGAGCAGAACTGGGACCGGGAGTGACCCCAGCACCTGGAGTGACTCTGGGACCAGGACTGACACCGGCACCGGCACCGACATCGGCACCGGCACTGAGACCGACATCGGCACCGGCACTGAAACCGATACCGGCACCGGCACTGAAACCGATACCGGCACCGGCATTGAGAACGACACCGGCACTGAGACCGACACCAGCACTGAGACCGACACCGGCACCGGCACCGGTACCGACACCGGCACTGACACCGACACCGGCACTGATACCGGCCCCGCGCCCCGGTGCTCGGGCGGCCCTGGGCGCCGCCGATGACCCTGAACACGCAGCGCGGGAGCCACAGCCCGCTCCGCCGCAGGGCCAGCACCCCTGTGCCGCGGCCGGGGGTCTCCTGCCACCCGCAGCTGGAGCACCGCGCCTCGGAGCCGGGCGCCAGGGCCGCGGCCCCCCGCGGCAGTTGGTCCTCCGAGTCCTCGGCCTCCTCGGGCGCCTGGGAGCCGCTGTACCGCGTGGTGCTGCTGGGGGACCCCGGCGTGGGCAAGAGCAGCCTGGCCAGCCTCTTCGCCGGCGTCCAGGAGCGGGATCCGCTGGAGCAGCACGGAGGTGGGTGCCTGGAGGAGGTAACGGGGTGGTGCCGCGTGTCCAGCCCCGCAACGGGAAAACCCCATCAGTGTGGAGCCGGTCGTGGCCGTTGGCACCGATTTGGCTCTGCCGGTGTCTTGCAGAGGCCGCCTATGAGCGCACGCTGTGTGTGGATGGTGAGGAGACCACGCTGCTCGTGATGGACACGTGGGAGCCGGAGCAGCGGGTATGGCCGGGGATGGGCACCGCTGTGCCCCTGGGATGTGCCCAGGGGATGCCATACAGGCTGCTTTGGAGCCTCCCTGCCGTGTCCTTGGCTCTCGCTGCTTGCTGCCCTTGCAGCAGAGCTGGGGAACGCGCATCTCTGAGCTGCTCTTCGCCCACCTTTCCCTGGCGTAAGGGGCTGCCCATCATGTGCACTGTGGGGTGGGCACAGGGAGCCCCTCGCGTGAGGGTTGGACTGGGAGGGAGAAGGGATTGAAGGGAAGGAACATGGTGCCAGCCCGTTTGAAACGAATGGAAACAGTTTGGGATTGGGGCCGAAGGAGCCAACGGAGCAAATCCACGTGAGCCGGTGATGCCAGCCAGGGCACGTGCTTTAACGGGCAGAGCAGTGGCCCCGGGAGCCTGGCACGGGGCATCCCTCCCGCCCAGCGCACGGAGGCACCTCCCGGGCAGAAATGCCACCACCACTGACGTTGCCTCCCTCAAAACACCCCTTTGCCCCCCTCTGTGCCTCATTCCTGCGGGTGCCATCGGTCCCTGGGAGTGGGGCTGGAGCCAAGCTGAGCCCACGGCCCCGGTTTGTTGTTGGTAGAGGAGGAAACTCTCAAACACCCCCCAAAATCAGAAGGTTTTGTGTTTTACTAATGGGGCCACAGCTCTGCTCCCCATGGTGTAGGGGCTGGTGGGGTGCGCTGCCAGGTCCCATGGGTACTGGGGCGCTGCCAGCATCCCCGGCAGAGCTGTGACATGTCACCCCCTCATGCGGTGGCAGGGCAAGGGGAGCCAGTGCCGCAGCCAGTGCCTGCAGGTGGGGAACGCCTATGTCATCGTGTACTCCATCACGGACCGGGCCAGCTTCGAGAGCGCCTCGGAGCTGCGCATCCAACTGCGCCGAGCGCGGCAGCCCGAGGACATCCCCATCATCCTGGTGGGCAACAAAAGCGACCTGGTGCGGAGCCGCGAGGTCTCCATTGAAGGTGAGCGGGGCTGTGGGGGGGTCCCTCTGCATCCCCCTGTGGCTGTCCCCTTGTCCCAGCCATGCGTGCGGCAGTGCAGGGGTGCCAGCGGGGCCGCGTCCCCTCCTTGCCCTTCCCTTGCAGAGGGCCGTGCCTGTGCTGCCGTGTTCGACTGCAAGTTCATCGAGACATCGGCGGCTCTGCAGCACAACGTGGCCGAGCTCTTCGAGGGGGTGGTGCGGCAGCTCCGCCTGCGCCGAGGGGGCAAGGAGCCCCACATGCGCCCTGCGCCGCGGCACAGGCGCAAGGAAAGCCTCACCAAGAGAGCCCGGCGCTTCCTCGACAGGCTGGTGGCCAGGAACAGCAGCAAAGTGGCCCTCAAGTTCCGCTCCAAGTCCTGCCACGACCTGTCTGTGCTCTGAGAGCCGCCGGTGCCTGCCCAGCGCTCCGCACACCCAGGCTGGGACTGCCCTCTCTGTGCTCTGAGAGCCGCCGGTGCCTGCCCAGCGCTCCGCACACCCAGGCTGGGACTGCCCTCTCTGTGCTCTGAGAGCCACCGGTGCCTCCCCAGTGCTCCGCACACCCAGGCTGGGACTGCCCTCTCCGTGCTCTGAGAGCCGCCAGTGCCTGCCCAGCGCTCCGCACACCCAGGCTGGGACTGCCCTCTCCACCAGCAGCGCGGCCGGTGGCTCCGTGGAGAGCCCAGATAGGACCAGAGCGATGTTGAGGATGTGGAGCTGGTTTAACCAGTGCTGAGGGATGCTCAGGGTGCTCTGGATCCAGCCACGTCCCCTCCAGGAACAGAGACAAGTGGGGCCGGGTCCCCTGGGCTGCACTCATGGAGCAGAGGGTGGGATCCTGGATTACAGATGCTCCTGCTCGCGGGGCCCATCCTTCACAGGACAGCAGGGACCGGTGAGGGCACCATGGTGGTGACAGCGTCGAGGACACCCTGGAGCCTGGCTGGGGAGAGGGACCACGTCCCACGTCCTCCTGGCACTGGTGGTTCTCAGAGCGAGGTTTTTCTGCTGTGTCTGTGCTGGTGCAACGGGGAAAACCCTCGGTTTGCAGAATAAACCACGCCAGGGGGGTGCTGGTCCCTGCTGCGGGGAGCTGCATCCTAGAGCCGGGTGGGTGGATTCAAGCCCAGCTCCTTGCCAGTGGCTTGGGACCCGGCAGGCACCGGTAGCTCCAGCAACAGCGGGCATGGGCCGGGAGGACCGGGACGTGCTGGGCTGCAGCGAGCAGCGGTGACCCCGGGGGCCACGGGGGCTCTGGGGCTGCTCCTGGGACGCCGCGGGGTAACCGGTGACCTCCGCAGCCGCGGCCCGGAGCCAGGGGGGAGCAGGGAGCAGGGGTCGGGTCAGGAGTTTCCGCTCGCTCTGCGGCTTGAGCGTGGGGAGCCGCTTGGTTGGGGCTGCTCGGAGCGGGGACAGCGGTGCAGGGGGACACGGAGCCATCGGTGATGGTGGCTTTGTTCCAGGGCATCCCTGCCCCGCGCCCCTCCCCGGGTCCCGGTGCCGCCGGTCACACGGCGCTGCCGCACCGGGGCTGGGGGCTCCCGGTGCCGCTGCGGCTCCCGCAGCTGCAAGCGGCGATTCCCTGCGGCAGGAGGCGCGGGGGGGCCGCGGGATGGAAACTTGGCAGCGGGAGGAGAGGGGAGTGGAAAGAATGAGCTCAAACCCAGAAAAATGCGGCCGCGCCGGAGGGTGGGAGGAGAGGCCAAAGGGGGCCATGGAGAGGCGCTGGGAAAGGATGGGAGGAAGGAAGGAGGAGGCGCTGCGGGGGGGCCAGGGCTGGCCATGACCCCCGATGTGGCCCGTATCTGGGGCACGCAGTGCCTGGCATGGGGGCTGCAGCCCCTCCAGTGAGAGCTCAGGGGCTGCCCCAGTGCCACCACCCCAATGCCATCACCCCTGTGTGACCCATCCATTGACCTCAGTGTGATCTCCCCCAGACCCACCTGCCCCCCGGTGCCATTCCCAACTGTGCCGTTGATCCCAGTGCCATAGGTCCTGGTGCTCAGCACCTTCCCGGGACACGGTACCCCATAGGCTCTGGACACACAACTGCCTGATGTCCTCAGTCCATCCCATCCCAGGGCAAAACTCATGCCCTTCTGGCAGAGCCCTGAGCACCGGTGCTGAGCCAGCTGCTAGCACCGCACTGGTGGGTGCCATGACTGGACCCCAGCACACAAGGAGATGGGCGATGGTTCCATTACGGCCCTATCCTCCTCCAGCCCCCTCACCCCGTTCCCCGCCCCCTCTGCCCTGGAGCACCCATCCCGTTATGCAGCGTTCCCATGGGGAGCGGCGGTGACAGCAGCAGGAGGAGATCCCTGCCCGGAGCCCATGGCGGGCAGTGGGGCGGGAGCAGGGGGTGAGCCTGGGCACGCTGCCTGCCCCTGTCCTCTGTGGGAGAGCGGGGAACGGGCAGCACCGCGGGCAGGGATCCCGGGGGGGCTCTGCCCTCGCATGGGGCTGGGGGCTGTGAATTACCTGCTCCAGAGACAGGAGAGTTGGGAGGAAAAAGGGGAAATGAATTGAACCAATAAATGAAGCCCTGTTCTGTACTGCGTGCTGCGCTGCGCCCTTCGTACCCAGCGAGGGCAATGGGGCTGCACGGCACAGGGGAGGAGGAGGAGGAAGAAGAGGAGGAAGGGAGGGGGGCTCAGGATGCAGCCGGGCTGAGGGTGGCGTGGAGCGGAGGGAATTTCTGTGAGGAAAACACACATTCCAGCCAATTTTCCAGCAGATCCTGGCCCCAGCCCAGCACCAGGTTGGGAGGCATCCTTATGGAGGCGCTCTTCACCGAGGGAGGCCATGGGAGGGCTGGAGGGGCCATTGGGGTGTTGGTGGTGCCCGCAGGACACAAGGCAGAAGCTCTTCCCTGTGAGGGTGCTGAGGCGCTGGCACAGGGTGCCCAGAGAAGCTGTGGCTGCCCCATCCCTGGCAGTGCTCAAGGCCAGGTTGGACACAGGGGCTTGGAGCAAGCTGCTCCAGTGGAAGGGGTCCCTGCTGTGGCAGGGATTGGAGCTGGGGCAGCTTTAAGCTCCCTGCATCCCAAACCCCTCTGGGATGCTGTGATCCAGGCACCATAACCGGGGTACCCCCGGGCCGAGGCCGTCTCCTAGCAACGCGCCGCGGGTTGCTGTGGGCGTGGTCGCGGCGCGCTGCCTCCCGCGGGCGCGGTGACGCACTTCCGGCCGCTAAGAGGACGTGTCCCTCCGGAAGCGCAGCGCCATGGAGGAGGCCGCGGCGCACAACGGCAGCGCCGGAGCCGGGCCCGCCGCGGCCGCCCGCCCGCCCGCTACCCCCGAGGGCATGGCGCTGGCCTACGGCAGCCTGGTCCTCATGGCGCTGCTGCCCATCTTCTTCGGGGCGCTGCGCTCCGTCAGCTGCGCCAAGAGCAAGGTACAGCGGGGCCGCCCCGAGACCCTCCCGGACACCCTCCGCCGCCCGTAGGCCTCGTCCGGCCGCGGGTCAGCCCCGTCCCCCCCACCTGGGTCTGGACCGGCAAAGACCCGCGCCCTGGTGGTCTCTGCGGGGCACTCGGGGCTTCTCCATCCCCGTCCTCGCTGCCCCGGTGGATCCAAGCGCTCCGTGTGCCCCTGGAGATGCTGCGCTGGGGATGGGGATGGGGGGGGGCTGTGGGTCTGCTCCCCCGCCCCGCAGCCCCGGTCCCTGCCTCCCGCTGTGCTGCTCTGTGCAGCTCTCGCCTGCCTGCGGTAGCAGCGGGGGCCTGAACTGAACCGGTGGCGCTCAGGAGAGGGGCTGCTTTGCCCGGTCTGGTTTAGTGCTGGTCCTTAAAGGCTCCTGGGCACAAGGAGCATCCCTGGAGTGAGGTGAGGGGTAAGGGGGTGGCTGGAGAGAAGCGTTGCTCAGAGTGATGGGCTGCTGCAGTGTGAGCAGCCCTCTGGGAGGGGGAATGAGGAACACCAGCACAGGGATTGTATTTTCCCTTCTCCAAGGGGATGTAAGCAGTAAATGGTGGCAGCCCCTGGAGGGCTGAGTGTGGGGTTTGCTTTTCCCCCTCACACTCTGCCTGTGTCACAGCCCCACCTCTGGCAAGGATCCCGAAGCCGCCCCAGTCCCTGCTCATTGCGTGCACTCACCTCCTGCTTGGGGATGAAGCCAGAGCAGGGGCTGAACCTCTCCTGTCCTCTCCTCCCCTCCCCAGAACTCCTCGGAGATGCCAGAGACCATTACAAGCCGGGATGCTGCTCGCTTCCCCATCGTTGCCAGTTGCACCCTTCTGGGGCTCTACCTCTTCTTTAAAGTAAGTGAGAGCATCGGCAGGACCTGGCATGCTCTGGGGGGGAGCAGGAGCACCCAGAGCTCTGCCTGTCCCTGAGGGCTGACTGAAACTGGAGGGTGCTGGGGACCACTGAGGGTGCTGAGGCGCTGGCACAGGGTGCCCAGAGAAGCTGTGGCTGCCCCATCCCTGGCAGTGCTCAAGGCCAGGTTGGACACAGGGGCTTGGAGCAAGCTGCTCCAGTGGAAGGGGTCCCTGCCATGGCAGGGTTGAGCTGGAGGAGCTTTAAGCTCCCTTCCAACCCAAACCATTCCATGGCTCTGTGAAATGCTGCTTTTTCCATGTTATGCTTCCAGAGCTGTCCCGTTGCACTCCAGCTTCCAGCCCCACTGTCCTGGGCTGCCTGCAGGGTGCTGGGATGCTCCTGCCTGGCCATTAGGAAAGGTTTAGGGTGCAAGGTTGGGAATGTTGCAGTTACCACACAGCAGCCGACTGCTGCTTGCTCCTGGATGGGACGAGACCCAGCAGGAAGAGGAGTGCTGGATGTGCAGCAGGGCCCTGCTGAACGATGAGCAGCTCTGCCCTTTTAGTACCTGCAGCCATGAGCTCCCCTATTCCACCCCCCTGCCAGGAGAGCAGGGAGGAGCTGGGATCCCCTGTGCTGGGCTGTAGGGGTGGGATTCAGTGTGTGTTGGGGGCAGGACTTCTATTGACCCCCAGGTAAATGAAGGGGGTGCTGCTGCTCCCCTCTGCTGATGCAGCCCCAGGAGCAGTGCTATGCCTCGCTCCCTGCCCTAGCCCTGCAGGGGACACATGCAGGAAGCTCTGTCCTCCTTTCTGCCACACAGGAGTTGGTTTTTGACCCAAGCAGCTCGCAGGCCCAGTGCTTGTTCTGTGAGCACAGGGCTATTTCCAACCCACCTCCCATCAGCGGTGCAGGAATTTGGGTTATTCCAGCTATTCTTCTCCTCTCCCTGGAGCACTGGCACAGCAGCTGCCAATAGGAAGCAGTGCAGTGCTGTAGGTGGGGAGGACACTGCGGTTACAAGCCCCTCTCTGGATTTGCCTTGCAGATATTCTCTCAAGAGTACATCAACCTTCTGCTTTCCATGTATTTCTTCGTGCTGGGGATCCTCGCCCTGTCCCACACCATCAGGTACAGCAGAGGGGAGGCTGTGAATGAGATAGGGGTGTCTGAGGCTGCCCCATTGCCTTGTAGCTCTTGGGGTGTTGTTGTCCCTTGGTGGTGTGACCCCTTCCTTGTGGAGGAACCAAAGTCTATGGGGTCCCAGTAACCCAATACAATGCACAGCATCACTGGGAGAGCTCCTGGAGGTGTAGGAGGCCACGTCATGGGGAAGGCCAGCTCATCCTGAGTTGCTGCTGTGGCTTGGCACAGTCCTGGCTGCCCTGTGCAGGGAGAGCTCCCTGGTAGCAGTGTTACTGCAGCTCCCAGTAATGTCCCCTGCCTCTCACCCTGATGCTTGGCAGGAGGTGTTGAAAGCTCCAGCTGTTGCAGTAACTGAAACAGTCAAACTGGTTTCCTGTTTCCTGAGCTCCAGGGTGTTGGGCACCCGCTGCTTTCCCTCAGCTGGTGCTGGGTGATGGCTTTAGCTCTGCTCCTGGTTCCACACAAGAG